CCGACAATACACATGCTTCAGCAGAGGCCACGCCTCCTGCAAGAACTCGATTGTCTCTGCAGCAAGTCCAGTCCCTTGTACGAAGAAAAGTGAAGGACAGGGTCTAGTTTAAACCAGGCTAGTTCTTTACTGGTTAGCTTTAGAGGTTTGTATAATGTGAATTAAGTTTTGGTTCAGGTTAGGGTTAGGAATAGACCAGTAATTGTTTGTTTTAGGGAAAATGTCTGTGTTAGGCATAAATACAGTTACAAAAATGAATGGATGAATGTGTGTAAACTTGTATTTGTTACCTTTTTAGGACCATTTCTGGTATACACACCTATCTTGTCAAGACCAATCCTAATTTGGTGGAACTGCTGTTTTGGGTTGGGGGTTAGGTTTAGGACTAAGGTGTGAATTGAGTTTAGGTTAGGTTTAGGGTAAGGGGTCAAGGTTGGGCTATAAAAATTACTGGAAATGAATYGAACTCAATGAATGGTCCTAATAAAAYGMWYYAAAAKKAAAAGGTACATACATGATTTTGCTTCCTGGTGGGGACYATTTTTGACCATTTTCTCGGTACACACAYACTAGTGAGAACCCAATGCTTCTCATGAGGACAAAAGCCTGGTTCCCATTMGYGGACATACCGTCAGTAGGTCAGGGGTTAGGTTTAGGACAAACGTGTTAATTGAGCTTAGGTTAAATTTAAGGTCCAGTGAGGACCCTGTGAGGTTAGGTTTAGGGTAAGAGGTCAAGGTTGGGCTATAGAAATGACTGGTAAATGAATGGAAGTCAATGCAAAGTCCCCATYATTATAGAAGAACAAATGTGMGAAAATATGWCATGAACTAATGAAACTCTCAGAAAGTAGTCTTGGCTGTAAATTTACAACTTTACYATTTTAGAGAGTCAACTCTCTGAAGATGGCCATCACTGCTAACTATTAGCCGACAAAAAATGACTAACTCAGAAAAAGTTACAGATATTGGGCTAAACCTGGGTGCAGAGGTCTAAAGATATCCTCAGCATATTTTTTTTTAGAAAGAACAGACCAAGCAAGTCATGCATAACATTTAGTTTGTCCAAAACATATACAACTCTGTCATTTAACTCTGGCATGAAAGGCTTGTTCTCCCTCAAGAATTTAGTTTTGTTTGACTTTGRATGCCTGCAACATTAAAAAAATAAAATAAACAAACAAAAAATAAACATTTTTTATTGTAAAGGTGCTTCCCTACAGTTCTTCCACCTCATTAGACGTTTCCTGAATTTACGCCAAGAGCTTTTTAATGCAGAGGCTGCAGAAAACATAAAAAAAACCTGCATCTTCTGCAATCCTGCAAGTCTCCACACAGGAAAAATAAGAAAAAGTAACCTCAGCTCAAAAAAATTAATAAATAAATGAATAAAATAAAATAAAAAKCTCATAATTTGACAAGTTTTAAACACTCCACAGAGCTGTTGTCTGATCCACGTTCACCCTTGTGCTTCTGTGCAGAGGTTATTTTTGTGTGCATGTGACTGCCGGGTGACCCGGGTCAGCTTCGTGCTCAGACTGGCTGATAAGYGGAAAACCTCCTCTGTTCTTTCTTCTCACTTCATCTTTAATCTTGTCAACACCTCAGTGTGCTCACAGTCTGCCTCTCTCCTCTCTGACCTGTTTGGGTTTGTAATCAAACGACTCCTTGGCCTTTAGGAGAGAAGAACATTCCTGGCCTCAGTTTGTTACCAACAGAACGCACGAGAAGACTTTAGCAGGAGTGTTACAAGAAACAAAAAGCGATGCAAAACCAACACTGAACGCTCTCCAAGAGCAGCAGCAGCCGCAAACTTTCAGGGTCTCAGCTTCCCACCTCAGGGATACATTAATTAAGTCGTCACGCTGACATCTGAATGGAAGAGACGACATCGACTCCGACTCTGGCTTTTCATCTGTGCACTGAGATGCCTGGTGCTGCTGGCATTTATTCAGCCCAAAGAACAACGCTCATGTGGACTCGTCAAAGTCTGAGAAAGTTAGGATGAAACTTTTTGGGTGTTTTAGTTGAAAACCAAACAGAGACAACAACAATTAAAGATACATGTTAGCTTTTTGTGTCCTAAAATTTTATTGCATACAGCGGATAAAATGAGTATTGAACACGTCAACATTTTTCTCAGTAAATATATTACTAGAGGTGCTAATG